AACTGAATCCTTCAAAATGCAAAATCCACTCCTAGGTCACAGTAGCGCCCAAATGGGCTTTAGGACACATTTGGCCCACAGGCCAGAGTTCACTGGCCCTGTTACATAGGAATTCATCCTGGTTTAATTCTGTACAATTACATCTTATCAATTTAAAAATTATCCTGACATATGGTATGAGACATATATCTGATTTTCTTTTTCTAATTGACTTATTTATAAAACTATGTCCAGTTGTCCTAACACTGTCCATCTTTTCCCCGACTGACTTAGGGCAGCACTTGACTGAATCCTACGTTTTAACATGCGGCTGGGCCTAGCTCTGAAACTGTCTCTTCCATTCCACTGGAGTGTCTATTTGTGTGCCTTTCAGAGTTGGAGGCCTTATGTTTTAAAGTGCAGCGGGACAAGCCTTCCACTTCCAAGTGCATTTGGAGGAATTTCTTGGGGCTAGTTTTGCTCCTTTGCTCTTTCAAATGAACCTATCATCAGTATGACTGGCACCAGAAAATGAACTCATGGTATTTTGGAAGATCACAAAAAGTATTTCAACAGGAATATTTTGGATTTTAAACTACTCATTAGATTTACTTAATGTTATAGGACTAACTAAGCTTTTTATTTCTCCAGATTAATTTTGGTAAATTTTTTTTGGGTAATTTGTCCCTTATATGTTTTCAAAAATATTGGTTAAATCTGTTCATAGCATTCTCATTAACCTTTTAATATCTGAAGTATATATAATTCTTTCTTGGGTAACGAAAGCTACTAATATCAGGGGGAGTTCTTTGATACCTGAATTGAAACTTCATTCTTCCAGACAGACTTTGTAGTTGTTTTTGGTTGGCTAGACCATAAACCTCGAAAGGAACAACTGTTCCATATTTCTAGGTGAAAGAAAACAAAACAAACACTTCTCTGGCACCAGGGCCAAAATCACAAAAGGCAAGTTTCCTTGCTGTCATGGCTGCTCAGTGGTTTATTTAGCATTTACTCTCACATTGAGAGCAGTGCCTGAGGTTCCCTGGTGGTGGGCATCTCAGATGAAATGCCCTGCCTTGGCCAGATGCTGCCTGCCTCCAGTGCCCATCCCAGTCTTCAGGATCAGGGTTAACATGCACCTGACAGGTGAAAGATGGCTTCCATCTCACTTGTCTCCTGAGGTTCAGACTTTCAGATAATTTTTATATTGATAGATTTTTATTTTTATTCCACTGTAGAAAATTAGCATTCAAAGTCAGGCATGGGGCCTGTAATTCCAGCACTTGGGAGGCTAAGGTAGGAGGATTGCTATAAGTTCAAGACCAGCCTAGGCTACATAAGGAGTTTAAGGCCAGCTTGGACTACATACTGAGCCCTTGCCTGAAAAAAAAAAAAAAATTAGCATTCAAATATCAGTAACTAGGTAGAAGAAACGAAGACAGAGAAACTTCATTTACTAGCAACGAAGAGATTAAATACTCAAATAACCTTAACCAGAAATGCACAAAATCTGTACAAGGAAATTTTTTACATACTTTAAAGGCAGACACAAAAAAGATTTAAACAAAGGGAGACACATTATCTGAGTGTAAGCTTCTCTCTTTTGAAGTCCTTTTTGGCAAGTTAGACTTTTCCAAAAAAAAATTATTCATTATCCCAAGGTTTTAAATTATTTGCAGAGTTGAGTAAAATGTAAGTCTTATTCAGGATCTTGCGATATAATCTTATTTCATCTGTCTGGCTATTATGTTATCTCAAAATGTATATTTTACCATATATTGTAAAAATCAGCTCTTCACATATTTCATTTTTCTAACTAGTCAATTTCTTATCTCTATTCTTGTTATCTGCTTTTAAAAGATTTGTTATGCTTTTTCCTTATCCCCTATATTGTACATTTATTTTTCCTAGCTTTCAATATACAAATTTTGGAGCTCTGAGCATTGCTTTTATTTCAATCTCATCAGAACAATTGTATCTTTCAGACTTAAACAATGCTTTTTAAAATGTTTTGACTTTCCTATTTAACTTGATAATAGTGGAAGAGCTAGAAAACATTTTAGACTGCAGAAAGGCATTGTGTTCTGGTCTTACTTGGTTGTGGTATTTTTTTGGTACCAGGGATCAAACTCACAACCTTGCATTTGCCAAGCAGGCACTTACACACTGAGCTAAACCCTGGGTACTCGGTTGTGTTTTTATCACCAAATGTCATCTGTACTATTTCTCCTTCCTGGAATTTATGGATGTTTTCTCTATGCTCCAATATACTCAGCCAGAAGAATGTTTCATGGACATTTGAAAATAAAGTGTAGTCACCATTCTAGAATAAAATCTAATATATACTCATCGTTTTACTTTATTTAAATCTTCCTATGTTCTTTTATCTACTTGCTCTGTCATGAACTGATGGTGGCTTTGAGATCGCCAACTTTCCATCCTCTGCAAAGATATCTGTAACTTTCTCTGTCTCCAGTTTAGAATATATCAATGGTCATTTTGTGCCAATACATGTAACTATTATCTTCATTAGGAGAGGCATCCTCTAGCATGAAATATCTCACTTTCTTTCATTTGCTTTTAGTTCAACTTTGCCTGATATTGAGTCTACAATCTATTTTCTCATTGTTTTGTTTGATCAACATTTCTGAACCATTCTGAGCCTTATAACTTAGAATTAATGTCACCTCAACATTTTAATCCTTTATTCATAAGACACGTTTGGTCCTATTTAATAACCTTAAAAATCTGTCATTTTTAAGGGTTTTTTGGTTGTTTTACATGTATGCATCTTTTCCTCACAATTAACAGTGTGAATTTCTCTTCTAGGGATTATTGCTATATCATAGGATTCCTTAATGCTTTTTCTTTACCCACTATATCTTCATTACCTACTAAAAGCAGTGATGAAATTAACATATTTACTTGTTCTTCTTATTACAATACTTTTAGCAGAATAGAAAAGTCATTTCCTCTTTTTTATGTACAAAACTCCTAACTTAAAGAAATGGCCAGTCAAAAGATGCTCTAGAAAAATGTTGGCCAAAATCATCTATTTCACTTTTACACAACTTCAGTGGGGTTAGCAAGCCTTATAGGATGGTATTAATGAAACCAAATCCATGCGATCAAAGCTTACAGTCAGCTGGGTTAGTTTTACCTTCTGGATACTTCTCCGCAGGCTCCAAATATCGAAGATAGCAAGAGTGCCCACTCTAAAAGGTATGAATGGGACAGCACAAATTTACTGTCACCCCTGGAAACTAAACATACAGTGCTGCAGCAGTAGTTGGTCGTAAGAGTTCTGTTGCTGAAGAACAGCACTAGGAACCAGGATTGTGACACTATGCCTTAAACTCCTCGGCTCCAGGGAAATAACCTCAGCCTGGTGTCTTGCTAGAACACAGGCAAGATTACATACTCAGCCATGGGAAAAGCTGCTATTTCCAATTCCATTTAATCTACTCTTAATCATGCCAGTGGCTCCCTGGTTACGTTTCCCAGGGAAGATGATCAAGGGAATATAAATTCCTACTGTTTGTATAATGGGTCAGCCAGAGCAGCATTCCCACGGCCACCTGAGCTCAGGAGAGAGTCCACACAGCTCCCCACATCCACAAGCAAGCCGGCGGACACAGGTCCTTCATTTTCCGTTTCCTACCTGCCTATCCGTTAGTCCATGTGCTTTTGTCAACTGTACCAAAATACTTGCTGTGCTCAGAACAAACCACGATTTCAACTGCTGCTCCCTTAACTTCTGCCCATCCTTCAGAACTGGCATCAGTTTTATTTTTATTTATTTATTTATTTATTTTTTGCCCAGTTTGAGTTAAAGTACCCTCTCCTCACTACCCAACTGCCCTGACAGTCTTAGCCTGAATCTACCACTCCACATTGTAATGCTTTTCTTGTCTCTTCCTCAAAAGACTATGGACTTTAAGACAGCATGAAGCTGGGTGGAGTGACATGTTTGTAATCGGGAAGCTGAGGCGGGACTGCTAAGTTTGATGCCAGTTGGATACGTGGTGAGTTCAAGACCAGCCTGAACTACATAGAGAGACCGGGTCTCAAAAAGTAAATAGGGAAATAACTAAATGCAGGAATGTCTCTCTTGTCCTAACAGTGCTGAGCATAAAATGTGAACTACACACATCTATTGAATGTGGGCATTTCTAAAAGCCAAGACTTCAGATAGCAGTCTAGGGGTTGTTTTGCAATACATTCAACAGAGCACCATTATCAACAACTCAAAACAAGCCCCCCAGTGAGGAATTGGTTGTACCTTGCTACACAAATGACACCTTTTGATTGCCATAGATTTGAAAGATTTTCATTGACTTTTTTGTTGTGCTGGTCACTTTCAAAAACAAAAATGGATTATTAGGAAAGGATGTCACAGAAACTGGCTATTTCCTTTCTCTGTTGTAGGCAGAGGAGGCAGGCACCTATTCAGTTGCTAGACAGAGAAACAGCCTGCCAGGAGCAAAAGGCCAGTGGTTAGAGGGACTTCACCAGACGCCTGGCCCTAAAGACTCGGTGATTTCTTAGTACATGACTTTCAGCAGTTCATTTATATTGTACAAACAGGCAGCAGAGGTACTGGTTATGACCAGTCATGCTACCATCAAACAGATTTGACTCTTGGAAGACCCTTAGTAACTATATAACTTTGAGCAAGTTAAATAACTACAGGCATTTGTTTTACAGTGGAGATAAAAGTACCTAAGTTGTTAAGGAGATGCTGTTTACTGATGATGCTGTTTACTGAGAGACCGGGTCTCAAAAAGTAAATAGGTAAATAAATAATCTGGTATATAATAATCATTTGCTAAATATTCACCATTATTTTTGGGTATAACAATATCTCTAGCAATACATAGGTCTAGAGGTTTCAGAGGGGGCTAAGAGACCCTGGAATATCCTGGTCTACAGCAGCCAGCTACCCTTTTTCCTAAGGCTTCTGAAGGTGGGCTTGGTGTCAGTGTTCAGATGTTGAATCAACCACCAGAGGCAATGGCTCTACCAGATTTATCTTTTATTGGTCATTCAGTCCCCAAAGGACCTTCCTGGACTTGAGGAATTTTCCCATCCCCAATAGAACATTCCTGAAGATCTCACCTTCACTTCATACAACTAGGACATGACTACTCAGATTCACCTGTCCTGGACTTTGAGGGACACAGTCTAACGCTGACTTGTCATGAGTTGCCACTCCACCCACGAGTAGGCACCAGGGCAATGCATTCTGGATTCTATTCTAATCTGACTAGTAATTTCTCCTGCTTTAGTACGAGGATTTGGAGGAACAGTGGAGGCAAAGGAAGCAGGAGTATGCTTTCCTCAAAGTTTGCAATAAGTAATAAACCTAAGCGTTTCCCTATGAGTCGCTGCTTTAAGTTGCAGCACTAAGGTGGCATACCAAAGGAATTTGTAGCATGTAGGTGTTACTCAAAGTAATGCAAGTGAAGGCAGAGGCACACATCTTGCCTGTGCCAGACTAGCAACCCATCTTCCCCCTGAAATGAAGAGCAAAACACTTCCTTTTTTAAATTCCTCCCACTTCTAACCTGCTCTCTTGGCAAAGTAGTTATAAATACCAGTACCATAAAGATCAACCTAAGGGCGAAATTTTGGCAGCTAAAAGTCACCACTGAACCAAGTAAGAATAATTTGAACGATGGTGAGGATGGTGGACAGGTTTCTGCCTAGTGCCTCTCAGCTCCTGCTGCAGTTAAGACTGAAGGATGCCCTACCCCACCCCACCCTGCTTTGTGCTGAAGTAACCTGTCCTTCAGCTGGGGAATTTTGTTTTTTTTTTTTAAGAACCCAGGTGATCCTAATGCACAGCGAGGGTTAAAACCAGTTTCAGTGGACAGCAGAACTAATGAACTCAAGATGGAACCGCGAGGGTTTTGAACCATCAATTTGTAAAAGCAGCTGACAATAGGTGGAACTTGGGATATATACTGAGCAATTAAACTGCTGGCATCGGATTGCTCTGTGGTTTTTTTTCTCCTTGGTCTATGGAGAGGAACAAGATGTAGAATCTATCCATAGTGAAATGGACTGATTTTAACTTAAAGCTACCATAGCTATTTTTGAGTTCTCAAGATAATGTATTTTCATTTTTTTTAATGCAAAACATTCAGGGAGAAGTTTGCAAGATCAGAAATGACACTAAAGAAACACAAAAGATTTTTTTGATAACTAGTAACTGACTTTTTTGGGACACAGGTAGTTTTAAATGGTGTTTAAGATGGGAGAGAAAAATTGTAAAGGATTTTAAAGAAGACAACTGTAGGAATTTATATGATGGCTAAAACAGCTTAACGCAAACATCTAAGTAAACACTGCTGCTGAACACTATCTGGTGCAAACACACAAACTCCTGAGCCTGTCTGTTTTCTAAAAGAACATGGGTTTGGGGGCTTTGCCAATAAGCCAGGACCCAGTCTAACTACAAGATTTCTTTCCAAAATTTTAAGGTTAGAATATGATATTCTGAAATACTTAATCCAAGTCAGACAACAAAATCAGCATAATGCTGTTGGCTCCTAACCCCTGCAGACTCAACTAGCTGAAATGTAAAACTAAGACAATAAAGTGTAAGTGGGATTGCAGAAAATTGATTTTTGCATACTCTTAAGTACTGAGATTAAGTCCTAGCACATTATAAAAAACTCAACAGGTATTTATTACATATCTGCTATTTATACAAGATAGGATTTTCTCCCAATTATTTTTTCACTTTATGAGTCACACTTTAAAGAAGTGATTATTATGATGCTGGAAAATATGTACTTTGCCTTAAAACTAAGACTCAACGAGCAAATACAGTAAACTCAGGAGTGGCAGGATCTTACACAAATACTCTTTTTACTGTCGATTATGAACAAGGACCATCACTCAAAGACTCAAAATTTTCTGCTGTACTTTTGTATTTCTTTAAAAAGTAATTTCCATCCATTTAAATAGGGATTTGATGGCATTGTCTTCCACACTGTCCTTGGTTAATACTTTCAATTTTTCAAGAACTTGTGGGAAAAAATGTGGAAGATAAAGACGTTAACAATTTATGCAAGGAATCATACACAAAACATTTCTTTAGTTACAGAGGAAAACAGAACAGCAACTTGGAGCTTAGCTAAGATACCAGCACATGAAAAGCATTTTTTAAACTGTGGCATACCAAGGTTCTCAAACTTTAGTGTGCCAGCCTCCTGTGGCGTTTTGTTAAAGCCCGCAGCTCACCCTGCTTCTGACTCAGGATGACAGGTTGGGGGAGAACGCTGCTGGCCGAGACCAAGCTTTCAGAAGCCCTGCTCCACGCTCCACTCTTTTGTCTCCCCACCTCATCAAGCTGGATGCTTCGTGGTAAACATCTTCAGGATCGGCCCTATTCTTCAACACTGTACTTGAAAAACTTTTACTCTCCACATCTGGTGATTTTGCTAAGCGGATATATCTACTTGCAGGAAATTTTTTTCTGGTCATATGTAATTTTGTTGGGCTTATAATGCAGTCTTCAGAAATACTGCTCATCTTATTTATCCTCCGTGTTGCTGTTTCCAGGCACTGGACATTCATCTCCTTGTGATCTGGACCGAGGAGACAGCATCTCTGGGCACTTGTGTTTCGGGCCTGGTGGTGGCGCTTACCATTTTCCTCACCCCTCCCTTCTGATGGATTAGAACAAGTCATGACCATTGTCAGCACTGCTAACGCTGCTGTCTCAATAGGAGCAAGAAAGAAGGAAATAACTGACAGGCACAACTGGCGGCCGAAGTATTAGCAAAGGAAGCAGCTGACAAGGACAAAGTGCTTCTGCCATCCCTCCACCGTCCACCAACATGGCACGTGCTCTAAGCTAAACTTCCCCTAGAGTGCATCCCTAACTGCTGGAGCAGGTCAGTCTGTGCTCAGCTTGCTGGACACCGACTACAGCTTCTGATGCTGACCTGTTTGCATAGCCTCCTAACAGGTACAGTGGGGAATGTGTCGCTCAGAACCACAGCAATGAAGTGAAAATTAAGCAAAAACCTGGAATGAATATATACTACCAGGAACCGACTCTTGGAGACTAAGTGAAGAACCCATCACACTACCAAAGCCTGGCTCATCTCAGCGCTGTCGGAACTTTTCAACTTCACGTGGCTTTCATATCTTGACACTATGAGAACTTCCCAGACTGCGAAGGGAACATGTACAATCTCTAATTCCAAAATGAAGATAAATCAGATTAACCTACTTGGGATTCCTACTTGAATTACTTGTCCTAGGCGTTGCTTTTCTTACCAAAGGCTGCCACTCATAACAAAACAGTTTAAGAAGCTACATTTCCACTTTGCATATTTAGCTTCGAGCACTGCCTTGCTTAGAGCCCATTTCATTGTCCAGCAGCACAACGTTAGTGGAAATGTTTAACTGCAAATGAGTTCTAAAGAAGACTAACTGTGGACTATTTCCCAAGCACTTCCATTCGTAAAATTATTTTCTGCCCTCTTCAAATCTGGAACTGTACAGCTACTAATTTCTCAACAATTCTTACCAAAAAGCAACAAGAGTTTTGATATAAATGAACTTGTTCCTTTAAAATATTCCATCTGAAAACTAATCTCAAGTTCTCTTATATTCATAAGTGAAACTATATGAATAATTTCAAATACTCTTATATTCATAAGTAAAACAAGTTTTTATGAATGGTTCTCATGCAAGTAGATAATGTCTTGATTTTTGCCCACTGTGGGAAATCAACAGGATTCAGACAGTTTGTACAGCAAGTGAGGACAACTCAGAATTAGAAATAAAAAATATGGAACCCCCTCAGAGAGACTTTTCAGCAGATCAAACACGTGATCAATGATTATCATCAAATGTCATGCTCAGTTTTTTCAACACAATTATAAAATCTCATTTTGAAACTATCTTGAAATGTAACAGACTTTGCTTAATTTGTAACATTATATCTATGCCATATAAAAAGGAAATTTAAGATTTAGGATTTAAAATACACTTGATTCTAAGGTTAGTCCCCCAAATTGATTAATACAAAAAAATCCATGCAGAATAAATTAATAATTCATTAACCATGCATATTCAGCACCTTAAAATGAGAGCAGTTTACAACCCTGTGTTGGAAAGTATTTGTGTGCTTAATATTCTAGTCTCTCAGGCAACTCATTTTCTTCCTATTTATTACATTCTTAAGTGATCTCTGTCGAAAGTATTCAAAATATATAGAAAATCATGGCCAAGAAAAATGATAAACATTCATTTTGTAAATGTTGGTCTCAGACTGCTCAGGTCAACCAATGAAAAACAATGCAGTATAGAATTTTAGTCCAGGTTTGGTCACTTGATTTTGGGCAAGTCACTCAGCTCTGTTTTCAACTCTGTAAAATGGTATGACTTTATAGAAATGTTTAAAATGTAAATAAGTTTGCATATATAAATTACTTTAAGTTACAGGTAAAAAATGGGAGAAATAGGCAATAGGTCACGAAGGAAAGATGCTGGATTTACCTCTGCATCTGAGGGTGTAACAGACCATGGTCGCAGGACTAATCTCTGCATGAGCCACACAATTCAACACAAAGAAAGAGTTGTGTCCATAAATTTGTTCCCTAAATCCAAACAAGCATGTTAGAAGTATGTGCCGAAGACCACTGGGAGTACTAGGTGACACTGCATATGACAGACATAAGATGTACCTTTATCATCACAATGAGTCAGGAGTGCTACCGTGTATCCAGCAGACATGACACTTCTACTGTGGGTGCAGCCCATAGGGAAGGGAAGTGCAGTCTTGACACCATCAGTATATTCACTGCCACATGAGAACCAGGGACGATTCCAGGCTGCGGGGCTGGCCTCTGTACTCTCTCCCTCCCCCACAACCTCCATTCCCCTCTCCATCCACCATATTCCTTGTGTTGGTCAACTGACATGTTCCCGGTTTTACATAAAGCACCACTTCTTCTAATCCTCCATCCCAATGATTCACATCCACCTGCCTGCCTACTTCCTTGATAAAGCAATTCTACAGCTTCTGCTGATTAGTAATTTTTAAAGGGAACACGATAGAACCACCCTCTATGAATTACTTTTGTGACGGAGGAAGGGGCCATCACACTTTGGGGAGAGAAGGTGCATCCCTCTCAGCACCTGTGTGGAACAAAACATCCAGGTGCAGGGTGAATGTTCTTTTTCCAGATGACCAGAGCAGGAAGCAGTTAGCAAACAGCTCCAAGTATTTCAGAGTAAAAGCACTCGAGTCATAAAAAAAAAAAAAAAAAAAAAAAGAACTCTTCTGTCAACCAAGCCCCTGAATGACAGACACTCCTGGTAATACTTTTTAGAAAGTGTGGCTCTTCTCCCACAGCTCCAGGCAGTCACTGATTCCTCATTTTGACAAAGTAGCATCTGACTTCAGGCACTACTGTATATATAACTTGACGCGCAGCTGAGTTGTCATAAACAAGCCGAGTACAAAGGCATGTCAAAAAGACATTTTTCCTCCCCAAAGCATAGCCCCAAGAAGCTATTATTATAATAGAGTATGAAGTTCTGCTGCAGGTCATTGACCTATATATAACACTAACAATAAAGTCCCACTCAGGACATAAAGGCTTACACTGTGACACGGAGTAGCAAGACATACTCTGCTGCCTACTTAAGTCTGCTGTGCTAAGCCAGTCGTGCTGAACCTATGGCGCATGTGCTGCAGGGGACTGCTTGCATTCCTGCAACAGTCACTGACATAAACCATCTTCTTCATTACACCTGTCTGTGTGTATAGATGTGTTCTCTTTCCATAGAACTTTTAAACGCTGAAGACGAGGTAAAGTACAGTGCAGCTGCCGGTGTCCCCATCAGACCATCCACAGAAAAATCAAAGACGTTCCCAAGGCCTATGCTCCTGTTGTCTCTTTCGAGGCTCCAAATTGAGAACTTGCATATCTGCCTTAATGGTACTCTGAGAATCAAGACTTGGCTCCAGGTAGGCCTCTTCTGCTGCAGACACATTTCCCTGTAGGAATTTGGCCTGGCTGCCTTCCTCAAATGGCACCAAAAGCTGTACACAAGAGTGTGCAAAAGCAGTCACTAGTTTTTTAAGAACAAAGACAAACCTGCAAAAAGCAACAACTCTATAAAGAGCTGTAGGTGAATGGTAGGATAGCAATAAGTTAACTCACAAAGCAGAGAACAACCTTTAAAAAAAGGAAACTGCTGCCTTGACCCTTTACTAATTAAAAAGAAATAAAAAGGTTTCCACAATATGCCTTTCAAAGAGAGCTGGCAGCTGTGCGTGCAGGGGAGTCGGTCCGGAGGTCAAAGGACTGGGAAAGTCCACTGAGATCCACGAGACTGGAAAACACACACAGCCAGCTCCGGGGAGTGGGAGAAAACCCGAGCTCTCTAGCTGCATCCAGGGCTCTTCTCCTGCGGCATTTTAAAAAATGTTGCTGTAGTTGAGTCACTGGCTTTGTCTGCTGCGGAGGTCCGGACCAGCCACTCAGAATTTGGAGATTTCCGGCCTTGTGTCGCTAGGGTTACCGGTTCCACTGCATCCATGTGACCTGGTTGCAACAATGAAAGTAAGAAAGAAAACAGCCAAGGGGAGACAAAATAGAACAGGAAATGAGAATGAGAGACATGTAAATAAACATTTTTAAATCCTTACATTTCGTGTTTATTAACCGAAGCAGTCATGTAACATTTCTCTTTTTACCTTTATAAAAAATAAAGGCCAGATTTATATAAAATATCTCTACATCTGAGAAAATGAGTTTAACTGAACAAACGGGTAAATTCAGCTCATCATGCAGTAAACAGCACATACAGCCCAGGCATTACACCACTAACCATCCCTCACAACATGACTTTCTTGATGTAACTGCTGAGAAGCAGGTTTTATCCACCTCTGCTTTCTGGATCAGGAAACTGACTGCAGCAAGATCAGACAACACGTTCACGGATGAAACCACGCCGGGCAAGTAGCAAGACTCAAACCTGGATACTGGACTTCAAGCCCTGTGCTGCTTCTGCCATACCTCAGGCTTCTCATATAATGTCACCAATAAAGGGACAAAAAGGGAACTGGCAGAAAAATAACATGGTCAGGTACAGTGTTTCCCGACAAAGTTATGGACACATTCTGGACAGAATAATCATGGCGTGTGCGAAAACTCAGCAATCCAGCTCCTAGCCACTGAATGGCAATAGTGTTTACCACTGTGACAACCAGTTTTTTCACTTTGTGAAGCGCACAAGTGAAGTCATAGGAAGCAGCATCACCTTCATCACTGTACTGAAAATAAATACACATTAAAATATAGCAACTATAGTAAAGTTTAGATTTGATAAGATCTAAATAAATACTGCTACTCAGTATTTTCTTCTCCTAGGAATGCAACCTGGAGCATAATTTTCAAATTTTAGGTCACAAAGCCAACTTAGTGAGTCATGACCAGTACTTCTTTATTCCTCAATGAAAAGTAGAAAATACCCAATTCTGCCCAGAGTTTACTTCATATTTACATTTGCATCCACAAATATATTCAAACATGAATGCTCTACTGCAGGGTAACATAAAGAAATCTTGAAAGTTATTAACTCTGTAACACAAGAGTTTCTTGACAGCAATGGCTTTTAAATGTTTTGGTATATCAATCACAGCAGCAAGAAATACTTTTTTTTATCTTTTTCATTTTTATCGGTACCAGGGATCGAACTCATGACTGCCTGCTTAAAAGGCAGGCACTCATGTCGCTGAGCTAAATCCCCAGCCCCAAGAAATACTTTTGACAACTCAAATTTCACATACACTCACACAAACTTATAAACACATGTTCATATTTAACTGGTAACAACTTCATAAAACTATACCTCTCCTTACTATATTGTTACCAAACCACAGTGATAAAAATCAGTGTGTATACGTGTGTGCATGTACATGCTACTTTTTATTATAATGTACACACTGTACACAAAATTTACTATTTTTAACTGTATAGTCAGTGGCATTAAGTACATTCACACTGTTGTTACAAATGTCGCTACCACCTCTCACCAGAAATTTTTCATTAATTCAAACAGAAACATGGACCCCTAAGCAATAACTGCCCACACCTCCCTCCTCCAATCATGGTCCTGTTTTTATGAACTGGACTATTCTAGATAGCTCATAAAAGTGGAACCATATACTTCTTATCCTTTTGCACTTGTTTTTTTCCACGTCTTTATCCATGTGGTAGCGTGCTTCTGTACTGTGAAGGGTTTCAGGCTAAATACCACTCCGTTATGTGTAAATACCACAGTTTGTTTTCTATTCATCTGGCAAGGGACACCAGGGTTGTTTCTAGTTTTGTGGAAGAGGAGAAAGATTCTAGGAATTCTCCCTTTTTTTATATTTTGAGACAGGGTTTTGTTAAATCACTAAGTTGCACAGGCTGGGCTCGAGCTTGTGACCGTTCTGCCTCAGCCTCCCCCGGTGCTGGGAAAATGGGTGTGCCACCATGTCTGGTTATCCACCTTGAGACTACTATGAATAATCTGTAGCTGTAAACATGGGTGTAAAAAATGTACTTAATTTTTTCCATTTTTTGTAAAGCATATATCTAGAAGCAGTACTGCTAGATTACACAGTAGTTTTATATTTTCTGAAGAACCATCATATAGTTTTTTATAGTGATGTACTGTTTTACATTCTCAGAAGAAATGCACAAGGAGTCCGATGACATCTTTGCCAACACCTGATGCTCTACATTGTGACACAGCTCTCCTAATGAATGTCAGAAGGCCTAGAACATTTGTACTTGTTATCTAAAAAAACAATGTAATATTTTTCACAATTGCATAAAGCACGATACAATCCAAATGCCTATCAAGAATATGTGATTGTAGTGTATACATTACCTTCACACAATGGAATACAGTACATATGACAAATAAAATGAATGAATTTTGGCAGAACAAAACATGAATGGATCTCAAAAACAGAACTCACTTCAAGAAGTGAAGCTTGTAACTTATGAAGCATGACATACAGTTTGAGTCTTTTACACAAGGTTTAGAAGCATACAAAGCTAAAGAATGTATTGCCTAGAGATACAAACTCTACATAAACCACTTGAAAAACCAAAAACATAATAAATGATAAAAACATCAGGATAACCCTTACTTCTGAGAAGTGGGGTGAAGGTTTTAAAATTAATGTGCTTTTTCCTTAAAGTGGATGAATACATAGGTATTAGCGCTATTGTTTGAATATTAGCTATAAATATTCTTTACAAACATCCAATGTTTACCATGGGGCTAGAACAGTATCAAAACAATTATTTCAACTTTAAGATACTACTAATCTGTTCATACAAATCCACTGAGGCTCTTCTATAAGATACATATTCTCTCAGAGGTTGATGGAGTGAGGGGGAACAAGCGATGGAAATTCCGGCCATTCTAAATGCAGCCCCATCACTGGCTGGGTATTTGGAATCTGATGTAACTAGTTGACCAGCAAACTGCTAAGCACCACTGTGAATGAAGTTCTCAGAGTGCACACCTATTCCAGGGAGAAGAAGGTCAGAAGTTTTTGGAACAGCAAAAGCAGCCTAGGCGCGAAACAGAATCTTTGATCAATTCAATTCTACCTTAATAAAGCCCCGTGTTTACTTTTTAACATCTGGAATTTGCAAGGTAATGGCTCCGATATATCACTCTAAGACAACTATTTCAAGAAAATGAAGTTTGGTTTTCATCTGAGTTCTTTAGGTTTCTTACAGTTAGTCTCAAATTTTAGGGAAAATAGTAATTCTTTTCTAAGTAGATTCTTTAAGAGTACACACACCTAGTCCACGTCAACAGGAGGTAGACTTGCTGGGAAATCCCTACCCTGGGTATCATCTCAGAAGCAGACTTCCACACTCACCAACTAAGATTCAGAGTGTGGCACTGTATAAAAGACACCTGCATTCCATAACGTCAGAAGAAAAAAAGCAACGTGCCACTTTGTGAGCCTATGAAAAGATTTTTTCCCTTTACTAGAACAAAAAGACAAGGAAGACATGCTGTCCCTTCCTGCACTTCATCTCTCCAGCCTTATTAATATCTTTAAATTCAGTCAATTTCAACTAAACTTTCTGCAGTGGGGGAGGGGGAAAAGGGAAAAGATTTGTGGCTTCATGCTTAAGAAAGAAGCTGAATTCATCACAGTGACAGCGGAGAGTGTTGGCAGAGATCTGAGCTATTTATTCTTTTAGGAAAATCCTATAAAGAATGACACAAGGAAGCCTCTATCTGCAGTCCTGTTCATCACACTGGTGAGGAGTCCGATAACAGATGTATGCAGTAGTGTGATTTAGTGCCAGGAGCTGGCCCCTGATGTGTATTAATACAGCGGCGAAGCGGGCCGCACCTCTCCTCATCACTCATTCCTATAAAAGAGGTGGGATCTGAGATGGCCCGGTGGTGGGCAGAGCAAGCCCATTTGTTCTACTGACTGATGGCGCGGGCTCGGGCTATGTCCTTCACCTCCATGGGGCACTCGGGTTGTGGGTAGGAAAAAATACAAAAATGCTCAGTGAAGCAGGGCCCAGTCAACAAGTGAGAGGAGACGACTTGGGCTGAGTAGGGGGAATTTTTAATGCTGGGCCTCAGTTAATCTTTTTATGCCTAGCATTCCACTTTTAGAATGGCAAGTGGAACATGATGAAGTTTTTCTCTTCAAATTCTTAGTCTTTGACTTTTTCTAGGTAACATACATGAATTTCATGCAAAGAATTTGCAATCTTGAGCATAAATGGGTTAACCCCTGCAACACATTTCTCTTATGTGACTATGGGATAAACAATTTAAACTCTTCCACATGGTTCTTTGGTTACAAAGAAATGAAAGCTAAAAACAGAAGCTAGATATTAAAAGGGGAGATAGTTGAAAAATATGAGGAGAGATTAGTTTCAATGCTTCAAATCCCACAGACTGAATGAGGACCTGAATTTTTACACAGGGTCCCAGTTTGGAACCAGCTCCATTGTCCACAAAGACAAAACACCTGCAGGGTTTAAGAGGGCATCAATGGAGCTACAGAGAAACTGGTTTGAGCTTGACCCTTTTCTGCAACTTACCATCATGTAATGACAAAGTGATTTAAGCTTCAGTTTTCTCGTGTAACCACAGGAATAGAAACGGCACTTATCTTACAGAGCTGTTGCAAAGATTAAATGAAATGACACAAGGTGTATTCAGTTCAGGACCTAGCCATGTGGAAAACACCATAAAAATTATGATAATCCTTAGACCTCTGATTAAGATGATCCAGTATGACTCACCCATCAAGCAGTCCCCTCAAAGAGAAGCTCAAAGAGGCTGATTTCTGAGAATGGTGAAACTTGGTAAGTAAAGGTAAGGGGTAGAGTTCCATATCTGCCTGAGATTTAGTTTTACTTAGCTATCAACTGCTGTGACCTACATAATATATAGCACAGGCGGAGTGCCTCTTAACCAGAGTGCTTGGTTCAGGCTTTGGATTTTTTCACATTTTTTAATATCTTCATATATGTATATTAGGGGTAGGACCCAAGTCTAAACAAACTTCACTTATGTTTCATAAACATCATTAGTCTAATGGTCATTTTACACAAAATTTTTATTGTGCCTATGTTATTGTCGTATAAGCTATCATGTGAGGTAAAGTGTGGAATTTTAAAAAATTTCAGATTTGGGGATTTTCAGATTAGATCACTAACCAGTATTATCTAAGGGGAAAAAAAAATCTATGTTATATTCCATATTCAACATTCTTGATCACACACGTAGTGAAGTATGTAAGCCTCAGGTATGCAGCTAAAGAATCTATAAACATACATGTGACCCCTGCCTGGTTCCAAGACAGCATTCCACTGCCCCAGGTTTTTTGTGTCCTTTCTTGGTCAATATCTCCTACCAAAGATAAACACCAATTTAGCTTATACCAACTGGTATTCATTTTTCACAGAAAGAAAATAAAAGGTTTTAATTTGAAAAAAATAGATAGATTATTGATTGATTGGATTTAGGGTTTCTGACACAAGGTTCTTGCTGTGTAATTTAGCCTTGAACTGGCCTTGAACTCACTATGTAGCCCAGGCTGGAACTAAAAGCACTCTCCCAGCCTTCCAAGTGCTAGGATTATAGGTTTTTCCCATCCTACTCAGCTGAAAAATTGTTTTTAAACAGAAATTTTACAACTACTCCCCTATATATACTATCACTGTCCCACACATAAAACCAGTGTACCCCAAAACCAAGTGAGAAACCAAATGAGCCCATGTGATTCCCTGACTCCGCCTATACTTTCATTAATATGAACCTAATTTCCTATCTGTGCCAGGACAAAAGCTCAGCTGACTGGACATTGTTGATTGTGGAATAGAAAGTTTCAAACTCTAGAAAGCCACAGAACAGGGTAAAAATGCAGAGGCTTCAGGATCAATGAGCTGGGCAAATTGCTTGTGTCTCAATTTTCTTACATAAAACGGGACTAAAACTATCTCACTTACTGCAAAGAGTACACAGAAAGGATATAAGACACACACTTTAGTGCCTGACACACACACTAGGTACTCAATAAATGACAGCTCATATAGTCACCTGCACTGGGGCTGGACACAGATGCTGTGGCCACTGGCTTCCGTTTCCTCTTGATGTCACGTGAACATGGGGGTCCCCAGTGTGCACTTGCCTGTCTGGAGAAATGAGAAAAGATGGTTTCATATTGGTGCTATTTACACATACAGCATTATGTTCAGTACAGATGAGACCTATTACAAAGACTTACTTACAAAATGGGCACCATCCTCCGCCACTCAGTTAGGACACAAGATTATTCAGAGCTAATTTAACTCACTCTTTATGCACAACAAAACCTCTCCAAACTTTTTACCTGATCTTGGAGTAGCAGACTTTTAAGATTAACTCCATATATGTATTTCCTCACATGCTGATTTTTGGACAATTATTTTCCATGAAAACTATAACTGCAATTGTTCTAAGCTCACTAATGAAATACCTACTCCCAAGTGATAATACACTGAAAAGTTTAATGCTGCATGAACAGATGTATTAGCATAGAATTTTAATAGGTAGTTTAACCCTTCTGCCACTATGTATCTGGATTTTAACACTATCTCATGAATTAAATAAACTCTGGTGACTTTTAAAAATATAAATGTGCCAGTGCTTCCTTATCTAAATATTCAACTTCAGAAGTTAAAACATATAATATCCTCTGAAAGACAATGGATTTAATATTGAAATAGTTGATCTGCTATTTTGGTTCCCCACTTTCTTCTCTCTCACAAAGGACAAACTCTGCCCCTGATAAAGACCAAGCCAAACCTCATCTTACATAGAACTTCTCTTGGACACTGGGGCCTTATCTAGCATGGACCATTCTTTAAGTGGTGTAACAAAATAAGATCAAAAGGGTCAGGGGTTTAGCTCAGTAGCACAGCCCCTGCCTGGCAAACCTGAGGTCCTGAGTTTGATTCCCGTTGCTCTCACAAAAAAAGAACAAAAAATGTGAATGTCTTGAATGAATCTGAACATGTTTACTTTTCATGGTCAGTCTGACTGTGGGGAAGTTGTATCGTGCCAGATCCAGTGTATAAGGTAGAGAACATGCTGTAATGTTTTTATGAATCTGCCTTTCTGTCAAATGGCACTCCACAGTAGCATTCACAAGCTTGACCACAACTCACAGACACTCATGAAAGAAGACTTCCAGAACTGCATCAGAGTGCTGGGAATGATAGGATCGGCATGCTCAAAGTGACAGGGAATATTCTGAGGGAGATTAATGGCAATGTGTCTTTTATTGTAATAATTTTTTTAAAAATTTGAACACATATTTTTTCAATCACTGCTCGTGTTTTCTTTCTTTCTTTCTTTTTTTTTTTTTTGGTACCAGGGATCAAACTCACAACCTTGTGCTTGCCAAGTAGGTACTTATGCCACTGAGCTACATCTCTGGCCCTGATACAAGGTTTTCTTTTTTTTTTTTTTCCATCAGTACCAGGGATCGAACTCATGACCACACACTTGCAAGGCAGGTACTTATGCCACTGAGCTAAATCCCCAGCCCCCAAGGTTTTCTTAATGAGGCTTAAGTTAACTTTAAATTGCATACCTCATGAGAAGTTAATTCCAAAAGACAAAATAATTAATTCTGAAAAAATGTGTAAAGCAAGAAAAATAGTTCATACCTAAAGTGAACTCAAGCACTAAGTGTAAATCAGCATGTTGATTTAATAATAAATTAACACAGATGACAGAACACCAAAGGTACACAGAACTTCTGGCTGAATAGAAAGGTGTTAATTCCCTTTGAATTCAGAACACAGGCAGAAAAGTGGTACTACAAAATTGTCTTCTCATTAGAACTGAGACATACACAAGACATATAACTTCTTTCTTTTTCAAAAAGAAGGTTCCTGAGTACATGGGGATGCAAACTCAAACTGCGAGGTGCTTTGATATAATTTAATCATGTCTAGCCACAAGTACTTCACAAGAAAGGGAAACAAAGGGTTACTGGTTTGTGTTTGAGATTTTCTTCTCTTTCCCTTAAACTGACTGAAGGGACCTCCAAAAGTTTTCAGAGCAGTGGTTAACACCACTGCTTCAAACTACCCTGCGTTCTTACAGTTGGGATGGGAGGTGCGTGAGGGAAGGGCCCACGACCAGCAGAGATGCAGGGCTCTGTGGTGCTTCTTGGTAATGCTCATTTTCTTGAAATAGATGCTGATCTATTGGCTGACTTTGTGATCATCATAAGTGCATTTCTTTGTCTATTATCCTTAAATAATAAATTTATAAGTTAAAAAATATTGTTTGGGCTGGGGATATAGCTCAGCAGCTCAAGTGCCTGCCTGGCAAGTGCAAGGTCTAGAGTTCGATTTCCAGTATTTTAAAAAAAAAAAAAAAAAAACTTTTTCAAGATCAAAGTTTAAACATGCTGAATTTTATGAGACAGACACAAAATGAGAAGTAGGAAAAAAGTACTCAAAGGGTATTAAAATACGAATTTCCAGAGTATCAACTAGGGCTGAACCAACTAAGTGTAGCCTTATATTTATACCTTATCCTTCATTTTCACAGCTTTGTATGTTTGAGTAATGTCAGTGCCATGGTTAAGGTCCCGTATTATCTGTTTCTTTATGGATACAGTCACTAACATTTATCTCAAACTTTCAAGGAATGACCTATTTTGAATAAAAAGATGAAATCATTAATGTACTAAAATGTTTAAATTTTACCTATTTTTAATGGAAATGTGGTGTTTTTAAAAATGCATGTTTATTTTACTGAAATGAAGTTAGTATTACCTGCCATTATGTATACCGGTCCTCATACCGTACCACACTGGGCAACATTCTTGGGGGGTACAGTGGACTCAATGGCTCAGGTGGCCCCCACACTTCCCCGCCACTCAGTCCCCATGGCTTCCTGCACAGCAGCATTAAGCACTTCAGGGCAACCCTCCTTACACTAACGACCCCTGCGTGCCAGGCTTCTAGCCCGTGACTTCCCTCCAAAGTGAGTGGTCCACTTCTACCACACCATTCCCACTCCTGATTGGTGCCTGGAGCAATCAAAATCCCTCCAATGTGCAAGTCTCTCTAGTTCTGGGGAAAAACTGCAGGCTTCCTAAGAACACCAGGTAAAAGGGTGTTATTTTTGCGTGCACTGCTTCCCTGCTGCTCGGCAGTTTGTTAACTTCTTTATGACTCAGTAAGTTTTACTGAGCAGCTGCTCTGTGGCAAGCACTGTCCTCCTGGACACTGAGGATACAGGAACAAGGGAATGAATGGACAGTCTCTGCCCTGATGATCTTCTAACCAGTCCTATCTGTAGAGGACAGCCTTTCTGGTTACAAAATGTGACTAGTGGAGAAACCGAGTCAGCAATAAAGGGAAGGCCTGTTCATTTTAAAAACTCACTTAAATGCGCCTTCCCTCTCGAAAGACTTCTACTCAGACCCATGTCCACACTGGAGAGCTGTTTCATAGGAGGCAGCATAACACTGTACCTTCAGGCTAAATATACACGGGATCCTTTTCTCCCTTTATGTCACACTTGGTCAATGTGTGGGGAGGGAAGAAAAACAAATTTACAAAAGGAAAGTAAGATACTTTTCCTTTTTTTTTTTCTTTAGCTTTAAGAGTTTACAGCTTGGGAAAAATCTATTTTTCAATGTGGGGGATCCACCTGTTTGGAAAGAACCTTAGAGAACAAAGAAGGAAAAGGACCTAGAACAAGCTGTCGGGAAATAAGGAGGAAGCTGGGGTGTTCGGAGCAAGAGGGTGTAGAAGAGATCAGAAATGGAACCAGCCATGCTGTAGAGCACGCTGAGAGCGTAGGTAGGGCAAGCCCGGCTTGGCGGTGCTGGGAGGGCCCTGGAGGATTCTGGAGAAACTCAGCATGTGGGCAGCTACTGCTGCAGCCTCCACCTCCATCCATGTGAGTTCCAGTTTCTTGTTTATCCTCAAATAATCCCATTTTATCACTGCATACATTAAAAATTATGGAAGGGACAGAAAAATAAAGAGGTTGACTTCCTCTCCACTTTTCACTTAAGGGCATTCAACCACCTGCCTTCTGTTCCTTTTAATCTGTTACTTATTTAATGTGTGTTATTTTACTGTGGCATTGTTGGTTCCATTCACAAATGGAACTGAAAAGCCTTCTAACATAGGGCCCCTTCTTAGTGTGAAAAAAGGAGATTTAACCAGATTTTTAGAATGCTCTTGCAAGAGAAGCAGACAGTTGTTCTTGTGGTGAACCATATACCTTTCAAGAGCCTTTCAGTTACTCAGAGTGCTAACTAAAGAAGAGGCTAAGTAAAGTTAAGCTAATGCTGCTACCTGATCAAAGCATCACTCTCCCCTAGAGTGCAAATGATGATCAGACTCACAAAAGGCACTTTTTACAAAAATACCCAGGCTCCACCAACTCTGATTTAGTAGGCTAGGAGTGGGAGCAGAATCTGTAATGGGTTTATTTTGAAATTTATCCCCAGATAATTTTAAGCAGCACTTACTGTGGAAATTACTGAGTTAAAAAAAATCTATCAAATTCTCTTTAATGGCAGAGATCTAAATACTTAGCCTAAAGAGTAACAGAACAACTACATGAATATAAACTTAGCTAAAAACATTGTTCCCCACTCTAGAAGCAATTAACCTAAAGAAAAAATAGGCTCCGCTTGTTCCATTTCATCTGAGAGAGGCCACAGGAAAACCTACACGCAAGTCAGCAACTGCTCGGGGCCTGCGCTGCTTTGGTAGCAGGGTGCCAGGATCCGCACTCCCCTGGAAGGGCCATGTTCTCCGCCTGTGGCAGGGCCTGCCAGAAAGGAGGGGGTGGGACGAGGAGTGACCATTAAAAGCAGTATATTTTTAAAAAATTCTTATAGAAAGTCTAGTTTCTTGTCATTAAGTATGAAGATGAATGTGGAAGATGAACAATTAATTGAAAGTATTTTTTTGAGAACGGAATGTGTATTTTTTATAATTACATATAAACATAGCATTTCTGCTTTGTTTTTATTGCAGGGAACTGAAAGATCAGGTGAGTTGTTCAAATGGCAGTGTTACTTAGGAAACTGGGCAGATCACCATGTCCCTGGGGCAGGAATGTACTTTTAAGGAAAAAAATTACTTTGAGAAATACATGTGTGTATAAT